TTCAAATAGCTACTTGTTATTGTCAGGACAGGACAGGACAGAACAGATTAACTTAGATTGTATTCTAATTCCTGACATTTCATCAAATGCACGTCACTTTAGAGCCTCTAAACCTGGATATCCTGCAGGGCATTTACCAGCAGTAGACAAGGAACCTCCCACAAAGCACTGATACTAAACATGGTGCTTGATGTTTAGATGTTTTTCTGTCCACTCTTCAGAACTTTTATTGTCCCCTGCCATATTTTGATAAACCAGTAGACACTGAGGATGTTGAAGAATGGACCACCGGTGAAGATAGCGACCAGGGTAATGACTTCAACCTGCTCATATAGTTCACTTGTCAGCATCAAGGGAGCAAACTTGTACCTGAAATTGAGAAAAGACATAGTGTTGGAACTTTAAAAAATTTAATGAACCCCAATTCTAACTTCAAAATCTTTTTGAAAAGTACAACAACAATGATTTTATTATATTTCTGACACCTGTCAAGAACTAGTATGCATATAATATCTTAACATACATAAAGCTATGAAAATATTTGGCAGAAATAAAATATTGGGTGCACAGCTTCAATTTGGGGTGCACCAAGGTGCATGTGCACTATTTCAATCCCTGTTAGTTGTGTGTGAATAAAATGCTTTGAGGTCAGGAGTGAGCCTTAATTCCATCATTTCTTGGCCATGGAAATACTGATAAGTTTGAAATGTCCAGATTTTCTTTTCCCAGTCTTTATGGTGACCAGTCCCTTCAGTTCTAAGAGTCAGGCTTTTTTGAGAGTCATATTGTCATGATGTGCTTTTTAACTGTTAAAACCATGAACCTAAAAAGCAACAAAAACCTCCTTCCCCTCCAACAGCAAAATCAAATCCCTGCAAACATAAAGTGGACTAGTTACAGCAACATGCAGTCTAGTGTTTAGCAACACAGGTTCTGCATCTCAAGTTCTGAACCCTGTCTAAAGGATACTGCAAGCTTTATTTTCACATTGTTGCAACATTCAAGTGCTGCAAAGTTAAACTAAATTTACATTATGTAATTCAACATACCAAGCCACAAACAGTGTTATGACTATTCGCACGAAGAAGAAGGACAATAGCCAGAGGATGCCGTTGATCTTGTATGGCGTTGACAGTGCTGGAAATCCCAACTCCTTTAGGATTGTCCTTAGAAGTAAACAAAACAGGAAAATGGGGCATGTTATGTATGCTATGAATCATTAGATATCTTTCTTTGTTTCACAGTAAGTATTGGATTGCAGATTGCAACTCACTTGGCATTAATTTTAACATCTCTTCATCATAGGGCAGCATTGGACATTAGGCTACAGCAAGTAATTTTTATGGATGACACCAGCATGCTCATTTATTTTTGCCTGATTTCAGAAAAAAAAACATTCTTTTGCCCCCTGACAGTGGTCAACATGCCGAAAATGGGCAAAGATGTGTGTTCCCATGCCAGAACGTGGATGGCAGATAAATGTGAAGAAAGGAGACAAGACAAGTCTCTGATTTAATGTTTTGTCTTCTACTCTGATGCAGTGATGTATTACATTCCTATTTGTGATGGTGACTGTGTATTAATCTATATGTGATGTTCCCACTGTATCAAAACCATTTATACAATGATTGAAAACTTTTTGTTTCAGTGAGAAATGGATGCTGTAATAGTTGGCAGTAAACATAGCATGGACAATATAGGTATCAGATCTTGTAAACATTTTAAAATGTAGGAATCTTTTTTTTGGCTCGCCTTGTTTTTTTCCCTATCCCTATTTGGAGTCTGCGGAGGATGTCATCTACAAAATTTACTTACTGTGGCCTTAAGGCAAATGGCTGTTAGGATAATATCAACAAGGTTATAGGGTAGATCATTATATCAAATACACTTGATGTGAAAAACTGATATGGCATATTTGTGCAGACTGTTGTTATATGTATTTGCTCTATAACTTATCAAAACACATGTCATATCAAAACCCCTCATAGCTAATGGCAACACGCATTAGTATGTGGGTACTTCATAAACAAATTCAGGCAACAAAAACTTGTAGAACATTGTACTGCTTTCACACTGCCAAAGATCTAAGTAAAACTTGATTCCATTATTGGAGCTTAACAGCCACTTTGTAAAGGATAAGGAATGGATCCAGTAACCTCCTTCAATCACCCCACAGTCTTTGCCAGTAGCTGTGCCTTATCCCTAGTGTGTTACATAATAACCTTTTAAAAAGCTTTTCCTGACTTCCAAAGTGATTAGGTATTACTTAAGACTTACCTCATATTTAGAAAAGGATTAGAAAACTCCAACATAGGCCCCATGTTGACATAGAAAGGAAGGGAGGTTGTACACTGCAAACCAAAACAAGTATTTAGGGCATGTCAACAATGATTCCCAACAACCTATATTGCACACTTTGTCATTCAAAGTAGGACTTCAAAATTAACTGTAATGTCTAAATATTCAAATTAAATATCTAGTCAACAGTTAATTCAGACAAGGGATTTTTGTTCTGAATACTTAGGTAACATTTATCTACCAGGTCTACAATATGCCTCACTTTAACAAAATATTGTTGAGTGGTTATGACACCAAAATACAACATTTTCTTATGATGTTCAAAATAGAAACATTTGATAAATATATGTAGAAACTCGCAAATAATACCATAATGTTGTCTCTATTATTGTTGAAGAATATAATAATAAAATGTTCTATTTTGTTGTCATAACAACTTTAAGAAACAGTTTCAAAATATAAAGAATTTAACGTTGAAGAAGTTCATCAGTCACGTAGAATTATCAGTTAGTATTGTTCTCGCGAGACTAGGTCACTCCGTGATCTTAGCCGTGATCCGTGTTTTTACCTTTAAAAAGAGTCACTGATTGATGAATATACTACTAACTAAAGAATTTAAGTCATTATGATACATGACTTGTACATTGTGTACATTTATAATAATAGTCTGATTGAGAAGTAAAACAAATGGATACTCACAACTCCTACACAACTGATGACAATAGACACCAGGTGATGTACTATAAAAGTCATCATCCCCAGCTCACTTTCACCCACAAACACAAACTTGGTTATTAAATCTGAAACAACAACAAAATATAAAAAGATCTCAAACTGACATATTTAGAGATTTTGGTAAATTTCTCATCCTTGCTCTGTCTAGGCATTTTCTCCCATAAGGCAGCAAACCACTAAATATGGCCACTGTGTTTCAGCATTAATGGTGGACAATGTTTGTATGCAGGGCTCGAAATACTGGAAAAGGCATACCCGGTAAAAGATATAAAAGGTATACTGGAAATGGTTTCTGACCAGCTTTTGGCATGATCAACATGCAGGTCTGCGGCTTAATACAAATGTATTTCGAGTTCTGGTATGTAATGCCTGGATCTGTGTACTTCAACCAATACCATGACACTTCCACACAGAAAAAGTCCAGTAAAAAATTAGGTGCATAGGTCCAATGTTGTATACACAAAATGCACCCTGTATTTTGAGCCTAGATACTACATGTAGTATACTGACTGATACACTACAGGAGGCATGCCTGGGAGTGAACAAAATAGGACATACATGTAGATCACTAGTCTAATGCACATTAGTCAACTCTGTTAAAACAGCTAGAACCTTGAGTAAATGTAAGAAGTGCACACTGATTACTTTATTAGCATTCAGAGTCCACCAGGCCTTCTATGTATGTTATGAATAGTAGAAATTGGCAAAAATAGGGTGAAATAATTGGCTAGGAGAGTGAGCCTGTGGTGAGACAACATTTCCCTATTGTGGTCAAACTCCCCATGGAATTATTTTCCCTCTTTGGTTAAATTTTGCTTTTTTTCTGCCAGTGGATTTAGTTTGACTAGGTCTGGAGACTAGGTCTGGCATGCAAAACTGAAAAATGCATGGTTAAGACTTGGCTGAGTCTTTGGGACAGACTGAAACAAGTACTTGAGAAATCAAGGTACCAGCAATGGAGAATCCCAGCAAGATGCAGCAGTTGTGCCGCACCGGAGGATAGTCATAGCTGTAACACACAAGTTATGTTTCATAGTTTTTTGTCATGTTGATAAATCAATGGATATCAAGAGTTCTTCTCTAGGACTGTTCAGCCATGGCCAAAGCTGTAGGGCTGATATCAATTAGGATTTTACCATGGCATGGTCAATATTGACTGAAGGAGGCCATATAGTTAGTTTACACAAGAGAAGTAAAAGTACATGTACCTGGCACTGTTTTGCTATTTATCACCACTAGGTGGCGCTGTGGCACAATGAATGTGGTCCCAAATCTGATCCATGATGTACATGTAGTTTGTACATTGTATACCCCCCTCTAGTCCAGTCATGAACCAGGATGAGACGGCTGGGGGAGTACAAACTCAGTTCAGTTTGGAACCACATCGTTCTGTTAGATTTGTCTGTAGAAAAAAAGAACTCTGATATCCACTGTTATGAAGATAGTGTAAATCAGGAAATGTTCACAGCGTTTTCATTTTTACAAAATCATGGGATGGCAAATAAGCCTCTATATTATCACTACTCTACTACGGTACTGTATTGAACGTGAACACCATGAAAATCCCTTTCTCCTCCTATTAAGAAGTTAAATGATCACAAAAATAAATGACTTTACAGCAGTTGGTCAAGGAAACATCGTCCCATGTATTTTTGTGATGAATCTTACCGAAGTAGAGTGCTGTTTATGTCTGTGTCCAAGTAGTGTATGTACAGAGACCAGCAGCCCATCACTGTGGAAAAACAGGTACATGCTCCACTGGAGGAAAAAGAAAGTATGATATATGAAACATCAACAACTCTGCAAAATCATTGTTGGTTTTCACTTCTTTGTTCAATTAAGGTAGTGAAAGACAAAGAAAGGCTTAAACAAACTAACTAACTAATTAGCAGGCTTGGGAAAACCTTTCTGCAGGGATGCCCTACTTTGCTTGGGGCTTGTTCACTAACACTCACGGGAGGGTAGGAGTGATCTACTGAACTGCACTGACTTAACAGTAACATCTGTCTAGACTTAACATGTAACAAGGCACATGTACCTTGTAATTCTGTACCATGTAATTCTGGCAGTGATGCACATAGGGTATTTAACTTCATAATAACGATATACAATTACCAGTGTTCAGATGCAATGAAGCTTATGACTATCAATGTTTATTAATATACTGCTGCTGGTGATGACATATAATATTTTGATAGGAAAATATATAACTATGTATACCTTGTTATCTGTTAAGTCTAGACAGATACACTGCAGTACAGTACAGAAGATCACTCCTACCCTCCCCTGTGTATATATAGAACAAGCCCCAGGGCTCACAGAAAAGTGGGGCAGGTTTTCCCAGAGATTTGCAACCTCAACTGTTATTTTAAAAAAAACTCATGACAGACCAGAAGGCTTCCCCAAAAGCATGAAATCATGGCAGTGCCAAGAAAACAATATAACAACAACCACCATCGCCATGGCAATGTAAGTTTTCATTGTCAGTCTTGTAAATAAAAGATCATTTTTACAAGTGCACAGACAGGGATAACAGTCCAGCCCAATCTGTCCAGAAAATACACAGAGCCAAACAGGGCTTTCACTTTTTTAGAGGGCGTGTGCCCAAATTCATGTTGACCTTTGTCCGCGTTTAGGGTGTAACTAACTGTTACCATCAATAATGTGGCTGGCAGTCTGGGCATATACGTGTAGTCATAGTAGAAGTGGACATGTCTAGATCAGCTGATTACAGCTGAATGGGAGAACCTGGAT